GAGCTAACACCCATTATTCACAACCACATTGCTTCTCATTGTATGAGGTTTGCTCCACAACTCAGTCAAGGTCCATTAGTTACATTTGTTTTGCGCCTTCTAACCAATTTATTCAGCCATGTAACCACAATTGTGAGATGTTTGCAAAAAAGTGAACAAAACTTCCATATGAATATGAGACAACTATATGAAGTAACTAGAGTCAGTAAATACTGCACTGGAAGATAAAGACCCAGAGAGCAACAGTTCACAACTGTGGGGAGGTGCAGCGTGGTGCGGAGGCAGTAAAGATACAGAGTTCTATGGCAATAAAACTTAGAGCTTGTATTAAAGAGAATGCAAATACAAACTCCTTAGTGGGAGAACGCAGCTTGGGAAAACATTCAGTTCAAAGGCAGAAATGCACGGGAAGAGATGCACCAACAGCATCTGTTTCAGAGGGTGTGGTCTGTCCCAAAGGGGAGGCTTCCTTAAGGAGAGAGGTTCCCTAGCCTGTCCCTCCTCATCGGGAACTTTTCCCTTCCACTGATTACTTTCCTTGTCAGACAGGGGGCTCTCTCCCTACTCTACCCACTTTGCAAAAAAGTGTGCCAAAACCCAGACCCTGCTTACCTAAGATGGCCTGCCAGGGGTCACATGGATGCAGCGTAGCCAACTGGCATTCTTCTCCATGACCCACGACACCAGAGAAAAAACAAGTTTCCCCTGACTTCCTCTCCAGGCTGTGGTAGCACTCACTTGAGCGCCACCTACAATGGAGTAAACAGACTGCACCTGCCTACAGGTGTAACAACAAATAACTGTAACAATAACATTCCTACCACAGCACTTGCAGTTTACAACTTTCAGTGCTGCTGGCTGCTGTTTCTCAGTGCTGCTTCCCTGAGCTTCCAGTCATCACATGAAAGGGTTAACATTGGACAGTGCAGTCTCTAACCAGTCTGTTAGCTTGGAGAAGGAGGGAGGAGGTGGAAGGAGAAGGGTAGTGCCTTGCTATCCTAGGTCACAGGGCTGTGTGTTTCTATATAAGCATACAGTGTAGGGAGATGCAACACTAGTCTCTGCATGCAAGGGTAGCGCCATAGAATTCTCCAAGAGAAAGAAGCCACAGGAAACTATCTACAACAGTCATAGCGACTGTTTCAACACGAACATAGATCTAAAAGATAACAAAGCTTTCATACTCTATTTGTGATAAAATCATCTGCTGAAAGTGCTTTAAAAACAAATGATTTATTTTCACTTTAAAGCCAAACTCCAGGATTAATAAATATTAAAACAAATTGCCCAATGCAATCAGTGTAATTCAGCCCACATCCTGTGATCCCAGGCATGCCTGCTGAGGAGCATTAATATGCCACCTTGGGCTCAGAGAACTATTGCATAGAACAGACATAATACTGTGATTTGTGCAGAAGTAAAGATAACCCAGTACTGGAGGAAGTAGAGAAATAGGAGGACCCAAGTCATTGTTTTTATTTATTTTTTTTCTTTGTGGTGGTGGGCAAAGGGGGGTGGGCCAAAGCAGGGAGTACACATAGGCAAAACTTGTTTTTTTTTTTCATTTTAGATAGTTATAACCCCTGCCACTTTTTTTGCCATTTGTGTCCCATTTGGGAGATTTCCCTTCACTTCCTGTCCCATAGCCAAAACAGTATAAGAGAGTAAATTCCTGCAAAGTGAGAGAATCCCTGGTGTTCACCAGGGTCTCCAGAACAAGGGTCCCAATTGGAAGATTTTCCCTTTATTCCTGTTCTGAGGACAACCCAATATCCAGGATATTCTTTTACTTTCTCTTTCAAATCCTTCTAATCCCTCTCCACTAAAAAAAGTTTTGCCTTTTGTGCTGGGGAACAGGTTGCAATACAAAAAATAATTATGAGAATTCCATTCAGCCAGGAACAATGATAATTTAAGTGCTGGAACAAATGCCCAGTACTTTGAAATAGAATGCCTGGGGATGCCCTAGTCCCCCAGACCTTCTGGTATCATAAAGATTTTAAGGGGGATCCCACAAAAAAAAATAGATGAGGTCCCCCTAAAAAATCTTTACCAGATCCTTTAATCAAGCATGCAGCTTGGCTGGTCAGGAAAAGGGGGATGAACGTATGGCTCCCCACCTCCTGAACCATACCAGGCTACATGCCCTCAACACTGAAGGACCCCCTTCTGGCAATGAACCCTGCCCCCATGCTGTTGATAAGGACCAGGATCTCTTCTCCACAACCCTGGCTGGTGGATGTGGGGGTGTGCAGGCAAGTGGCTTATCGGAATGTAGATATCCCTGTTAATAATATGCGAGTCCCCAGATACTGCCACCCCCCACATGAATGTGTTTAGGGGTCATAATACCTCTACTCATTAAAAAATGTAACTTAGAATGTTAAACAAGTCCTTGATTAAAAAGAATAAAAATCCCAAAAAAGGTCCTAGTAAATTAATCGTCAATCACGATGCACACACACTCAACAAAAAAACAAACAAGCGGCTCACACTACTGATCCTGGCAGTACCACTAGCCAAATGACATGTCGTTGCCAAAATACAGCCAGTGGCCATATTTCGCAGAGATGTTACTGCTGTCTCCATACTTTTGCGTACGTGATGAGGATTCCTGGTGAATTCAGTGGTTCCTAGGGACACACCAGGTGAAGCACCCACAGCTTTTTTAGAAACCAGTGACAGCAGGAAACTGTCCTAAACAATAGTGGTAGAAATACCACTTCTACTGTATATATGATGCTTACCTCCCACAGAACAGGGGACCGCTGGCTCATCCATGGTGGCTACTTCACCAGGAGTAGCTGGAACAGACAGTAGGGACACCCAAAACTCTCAGGTGAACAGGAACACAGACAGAATATATGGCAATGTGATCTGTAAGAAACCAGAAAGACTAAAATATAACTTTTTGGTGGAGGGATTCTTTTATATTAAAATAAAACTGTTACTATTTTAAAATTCAGAAAAACAGAATATGAGCCTACAACACAGTTTGCTTGTGGATAACATCTGCTTTTTTTAGTACTTGAAAATGTACTAATTACATGAAAGGAGAACCATTCATCTTTCATGTTTACTTGCTGTTGGGTGACTAATACTAGCAATATTAACCGGATAAATGAGTAACAGCAGAGGAAACAAAACGGAATCCTTATACATGGTGTACAGGAAGGAAATGTGAAATATATTTATTGTGAAATATTCCTCCACCAAATGCAGCAAACCACTGAATGAGCATTGTGTGGGTTGCTGACTCCAGATTACTACTGAGCATTACACATCCCTTGTTCCTTTCACTCTTTGAACCTACACTTCACAGACTACAGTTTTATAGGTCATTGTCTAGTTGTACGTGCCCCTACTTACCTGTTTTTTTTTTTTTTTTAATTAACCACCAATATCTTTGGTAAGAGAGTCATTTACTTCTTTTAGAATGTCTGTAATTCAACTAGAGGACTGGACCTACAGGTTATATAGTAAATAGCAAGGTAAACGTAGGGGGCAAAAACAATTGTGTTAGTTGTAAATGCCGTCGCTTACCATCAGAATTCTAAGACTCATTTATGAGAGATAGTAACTCATATATTAGATTGCACTATTCTGCAAGTGAACTGGACTCTGCACATAACCAAAGGCCAGGCAAACTTTGCTATGTAATTTTCACTTTTAATGCAGTTTTATTTTACAGTTTATAATTGTCTATTTCATAATATTCTTTTTTTCTTGCACCGTTTTTTTCCCTTTCTTAAAAATCTTTAAAAAATCCTTAAGCTGAATATCTGAATGTTCTATCAGAAAAAAAAACTTTTTGCCTCTTTGAAGAAAGCTATCATTTTGTAAACTTACATTCCTGTATGGGCAAGGCAGTGATAAAGACATTTCTTTTAAAAGGTCGGAATTGCAGCAGCAGGTGCTGTGAACTGTGTGTGTCTGTTAATAAACTTTGATAAACAGGTCTTATAAAACTGTTTTTATAAAACACCTACCTATACACTCCTAAAGACAATGTTGGGGTTATTTACTAAAGCTGGAGAGTGCAAAATCTGGCTCACTTCTGCATAGAAACCAAACAGCTTCCAGGTTTTATTCCCAAAGTTTAATTGAGCAGGCCTAAATTGAGCCTGATTTTGCACTCTCCAGCTTTAGTAAATAAATCCCTGTATGTCAACAAAATATGTAGAGCTTTCTCATTGGGACTGCCCATAACAAATTTGAAGTACATGTGTTTATTTGATCATGTGTTTGAAAAGTAAAGGTTGAGCTATTTGGGATATGATGTTGTAGAGACATGAGATAAGAGCTGTTTCCTGCAAAGGATAAAGGGTATGCAAGTACACATGGGTGCCAGGCTAACTGTCTTGTGGCATGTATCTCTGAAATCTTGTATAAACAAAATATGAACAAAACTGTTTTATAAATGTATGTGTTGTGACTCCTTATAGTAACTACAAAGTCCCTTAATATGCATAACTAAGTTGTCCTTGTGTGATCAGGATATGGTACTGGTTTTCTAGGCATAACTATAATAAGTTCATATGTATATTTGTATGCGGTGGCTTGGGCTAATTGCAGAGTTAACCTGCCCCAATGAAACTCAATCTCAAGTCTGCTGGTGCTTAGATTGTTGTCCCGCAAGCTGGAAAATCTGCACAGAGTGAGGCTTAGAGGAAGTCATCACAGCAGAAGAGAAGAATGTTCGCATAGCTTAGTCTACAGTATGTTCACTAAGAAAGCTCCACCGTGTGCAGAGGAATTTGATTAGATGACTGAAGTGTACACAGCTTCACCTTATTCACATAGCTTAGTTGGCATTTACTTTGTCCAGCAACAGACACTAAATACTAAATAAAAATACAAAATTGTACCATATGCATGATGATTATCATGGGCTCTTCAAATGGAGTTGAGTTGTCAGGATGCCAGTTTGCTTTTCTGTACAGTCCATTTATGTTTAATGATCATTTCCAAATTTTGTGTAAATTGTATAACCCTTTCTGTTCTTGCAGTGTACAGATTTAGTATTGAACACTGGATATGACATCATCCTCCAGAGATTACTGAATGGGAGGAAGATGTGTAAAGATGTGGAGGAGCTACTGAAGCAGAGGTACATGCAATTCTGTTAACCACCGATTTCTGTACCACAAACATTCACACATGCATTACCATCACTATTAAGTCTTATGATACTTCAAACTAGGATATTGTTCTTAAAATGGTTTTACATGATACCTGTATATTTTTTCAAATCCCATTGAACATCTGTTCAATTGGGACATGTTAGTAGTCCAGCATTCATAAGCCAAAAAAGATAAATTAAGGCTGGGCATACACAAGTCTTTTTTTTTTGCTCAACCATAGTTGAACGAAAGAAAATGACTTGATTCCTCCATCCACACACTCGATGTGGATGGGAGAATCCTTCCCACTGAGCTACTGTATTTTGAAAATGGAGAGATTTCCCCTCTGTAAAAATACACTTATCAGTACCACCGGCCATAGCTGGCAGTGGTGATCGAGAAAACATTTTTCAACAGGTTGGTTGTATACAGGTCAATCGATAGAACAACTTTTGTATAACCAGCCTGCAATTACATGGGTCGAAACTTGGCCCGAACCAGACAAATTTAGAGTGCATTCAAAGATACATTTGCCATTGAAGTCAGGTTGAGCACTAAACCTTGGGAGTCATCCAGTAGTTCTTTATGCTTCCCGGTTCTCTAGTGCAGGGGTCTCCAAAGCAAAGGGCCAGTATAATGTTCTTCAGACTTTGTGGGGGCCGGACTGAGCTCAGTGGGAGTAGAAAATGCTCCCTCATTGGTGTCATTGGAAGGACATATGTCCAACTAGTGGTGTCAATAGGCAGATGCATGCCCAATCATTGGTGCCAGTGGATGGACTAGTGCCTCAAGGGCTGGATAAAAGCAAGCAAAGAGCCACATTTGGCCCACAGGACCCAGTTTGGAGACCTCTGCTCTAGTGTATGAAGCAGAGAGTAATAAAGTATTCTGCAAGAAAAAAAATGGGAAAAAATATTTTGGCATTTTCAGCATGACCTTAAAACATGTTGCATTTAGAAATTTGCTCAATACCTACCTCTCTTTTACAGCGTGCGACAAAAATATAAGGGTATTTTACTATAGTGTGATGTAATCCCATCACCACAGTCAGGAACACTACTTACTGCAATGATTACCCTTGCATGCTTTACTTGCTGCCTTCTTTGATGCCTAAATGGTGGCCAAAAGATCAATTACATTTGCTTTTGCTTTTCCTTAATTTTGAACATGAGGTATAATACCTGAGTCAAAAATGCCAGCAAATGCAGTCTCTAATAAAACAGGGCGACATTAAACCTCATTTGCCACATAGTTGCCCAATTACACAGTGGATTGAAGTTGGCTTGTAAATTGGAGACTTCCTGTAAGGACCTTATTCCACTGCACAGCTTGGTGTCATCTGCAAAGAATGAAATTGTATTTTTAATCCCTGTTATATTATCTGTTTCAATCCTCACCCATGTTCTGCTACTTTTAATAATTTAAAACATTCTCCCCATCGTTTTTTTTTCCCTCATAAGGGCTATTGCTGAAGAAAAATACGGGAAGGAATTAGTTCAAATTGCAAGAAAGGCTGGAGGACAAACTGAAATAAAGTAAGAAAGATGACTAAAAGTTAAAAAAAATAATGGAAGTCAATGGCATATAATTTTAATTCATAGCATGCAAATTTGTATGATACAGCGGTTTGTTTTGCAATGCAGATGCTCATTCTATATACATAGCTATATAACTGCTGGTACACGTTTTGTTTCTCTGCTGACTGTGATAGTTTATTTACATTTTAAAATTTTCTTAAAAACCACTTCAGCCCCGGCACAATTTACCCCCTTCATAACAAGGCCATTTTTTTTGCTATTCGGCACTGTGCTACTTTAACTGGCAAATGCGAGATCAGGCAATGCTGTATACAAACTAAATTTTTTATCATTTTTTCACACAAATAGTTTTTTTTGGTGGTATTTGATCACCTCTGGATTTTTTATTTTTTTTATTATATAAATGAAAAAAGACTGAACATTTTGAAAAAAGAAACAATATTTACTGTTTTCTGTTATAAAACATATCCAATTAAAAAATCTAATTTCTTCATAAATTTAGACCAAAATGTATTTTGCTACATATCTTTGGTAAAAAAAAATTGGAATAAGTGTATATTATTTAGTCTATAGAAAAGTTATAGTGTCCACAAACTATGTGATATACAGTATATTTGAAGATTGATCATTCCTGATGTACTGACAGCTGATCATTTCTTGAGGCCCTTAAAATGACAGGACAATACAAATACCCCCCAAATTACCCCTTTTTGGAAAGTAAACAGTCTGAGGTATTTATTAAGAGGCATGGCAAGTTTTTTGAAGTTGTACTTTTTGACACAATTTTTTTGTAAAATTGAAATTAAATAAATTTGTGGGTTTTTTTTTCCCTTTTTGTTCTTTTTTACATACCATCACCAGCGCAGTACAGCATCATGATATGACTGGTATGGTTGTGATTATGACACTGACTGGTGACAGCATGTTAAAAAAAAAAAAAAAACTTAAAACAATTTAAAATAATTTTTTATTCAATATTTTAATTTTAATAAAAAAAAAATGCTTTCATCAGAGTGCTTCAATGTTACCTTAGTAACCTTGTACTACTCTGGGCGGGTGATCAGGGATTTTTTTTTTTTTACACTTTGATTGCTGGTACAATGGACATCATTATACCGACAATGCTTTGAACTGTCATGAATGAGTTAAGTTAATACTAGTAATTTGTGATTGTCTACAGCTAATCATATGGTACAGGGTTCTGTAATTGGCCCAGGTACCATGTGATAGCTGTGGGCAAATCACAGCTCATTAGTAAAGGAGGCAAAGCTGTTATGAATCATATTGATTCATAACAGCTTTGTTGACATTGTGATCATGTGATCACATTATCACCAGGCCCAGAGTACCGGGATTTGCATTCCACACAGCAGTCATGGGGGAGGGGCGTGCTGCGCACCCGTCTGAGCCTCTACAGGCAAAATGATGTACAGGTAAATGCACTGTGGGAAGTTGGCAAGTGGTTAAAGTGGTATTAAACACAAAGCAAACATTTATTATTATGTAGTTTACCAATCATTAGATGTAAAGGCTGCATTAGTTTTCTTTTTTAGGCTTTCATTCTCTATTTTCATCAGGTGATCCAGCCAGTAAACCTGTTGTTTTTCTACAGAATTATATGCACCCCTGTCAGTGGTAAATGGTTTGTCTTGGGAACAGTCCAGGGGTATTCTCTTTAAGTTTTTTGTTTTTTGGGGGGTAATTTGAATGGGGCTAGGTAACTGAGGGGGATACTCCAAAACTACGAACAGACAGGAGCAGGGGCGGACTGACAACTCATGGGGCCCCCGGGCAATAGGGGCTCATGGGGCCCCTGTGTCCTTGACCAAACTCAAAAAAGCCTATGAAAAAGGTACCAGGGGCATCTCATGGGGCCCCCTACTGACCCCGGGCCCTCGGGCAGTGCCCGAGTTTCCAAATGGTCAGTCCGCCCATGGACAGGAGGTCACTTTTTCTTCTGTAGAACTATGAGCCAAGTCCTTGCACAAGTAAACAATGGACTGAGCTTTGTAAAAGTAACTTCAGAAATCAGAGCAGAGTCTTTTAACTATAAATTAAACAGACTAAGCTGTTCAGGACAGCAGACATGATGTTCCCCTTGAACACGGCTGACTCTTTAGCACCAGAGGGGTGGCTACAAGATACAGTCTCTAAGATCTCATACACCAGTCTGTACTCACAAATGTCCTTAGATTATTGGTTGCCTCCTTCCAATATCTTCCAGGCACTTTCTCCCTGTGATATCAGACTAGATCACCAGGCAACAGGTCCCTCAGTCAATTTCAGCAGCTTTCAGCAAAATTGGCCCCCCAGCCAGTTCAGCTGGACTGTGGTGAACAGAAGACACAAGGCAGGCTTACCAAGGGGGCAAAACAGCCCCCCTAGGAGGTTACATTGAGTGGAGCACAAAAGATAAAAAAAATGGTGCATTGGAATGGGTTAAAAAACATATTACACTTAATGCATGGTGAGAAAGTGAGTTGACACAAGAGGGAAATGTGAGAAGAGGGAGATATAAAATAGAGGTCTTGGGATGACAAAAAACAATTAGGAAGAGATGTGAAAGAGGAGAAATGGTGCACAGGGGAAAGAGAGGGAAGGAGAACTCAGGTAATGGGAATGGTCAAGAGCAGGGATTTTCTTTCTTCATTTTTACTAGTAATGGCGGCAATCAGTGACTTATAGCGGGACTGCGGCAGACATTCTGACACTGGGGGGAACTGACTTGGTGTCAGTGACATCCCCATTGACACCAATACAGTATTCAGTGCTACAAAAAAGCACTGACATTGTACTAATGGCACTGGGCAGGAAGGGGTTAACATGAGGGGCGATCAAAGGGTTAACTGTGTGCTGGGAGTGTTTTGCTAGGGGGCGGTGTGTGTGATTCACTGTAATCACACTGCTGTGGAAGCAGCGTGCCCGAGCTGACAGAGAGGAGAACTGTTAGTAAAACTGTTCTCCTCTCTGTCAGAGATCCTCGGAAATCACTGGGTGCTAGCAAGTAATTGACAGCTGCGGCCACGAAGGATATTCTGCACTATGAGCTTTCGCATTTTATATGCCCACATTGCTTGAAAGTGGAGTTGGAGCGGAGCCGAGGGATAGAGCATTGTCCTATCATTTATCATGGATCAGTTTGGGGTCAACCCCTGAAGCGCTGTTGGCTTTTTCAATAATTTGAAAGCCTAACAAGTTTCGATAAACATCCTAACTCACTTTCATCATCACTGGATCTCTGATGTGTTTTCCCTTCAGCCCTGTTGGATTAATGGATGCCAAACTGTATTTACGGCAATGGAAGCATCAGCTGTTCACAGATGATGATGCCTTATTGGTGTACCCATCCAAAATGGTATCATGGTACAGGTACACTGTTGATCATCTGGACAGGGACAGAAAAAAAAGTGATCAAGATTGTGGAATTACAGGGACAAAATCTAAAAATGTACCATTACTCATGATCCAAGAATAGTTATGGGGAATGGGGGTCTCCCTATAAATAAACTGTATAGAAAACCAACATCTACTAACAGTTTAGTACATGCAGAGAGTTTTCATACAGACCCTTGGTAAAAAGTATAACAGTGGGACAATATCTGCAGTCATGCAGAAACTGTAATTAACTGGAAGATTTTGGGGATGAAGCAAAAGTGTTGAAGTTGAAATTTCAGAAAATAGGTTACATGAAAATATAGCTGAGAGAAGCCTATCACAGATCTAAAGGATGTACATTAAAGGGGCTATTGTACAAGATGGGCCCCCAAGAGAAATGATGATACAAGGTTACCTTTGCAGTATTCCAGTGTCTCACATAAATGCACAATATTTGTCAATAGTACTAGTATTTACTGACTAATGATGATTTATTAAGGGGGTTCATAGCGACAGGACCAAGACTAAAAATAATTTATAGGCATGTAAGATCTATACAAGACATGCTAGTACATAGCCACTTTAAGAACTTAGAGCTTAGATGAGAACGGAAAATGTGTGTCAAACCATGTGGTAAATGTGAATACTGTAACTTCCTCACTGAAGGAAATAGTTTAAAATTAGCTACAGGCAAAACCTTTAAAGTGATAGTAAAGTCTGTTTTTTTAACTTGTACCTATAGGTAAGCCTATAATAAGGCTTTGGATACAAAGAAAACAAAAAAGAGGGTGCACCGACCTAGTACATTATTGTAAAAAATATTTATTAAAAGGGTTAAAAGTAAGTATCATACTCACAATGGACATACAGGACATAGGCACATCACACTAAACAGTAGTGTCCACTCCAATCCACACTGCATATAAGTCCAAAATATGGAACACTAGACTTCCAATTGGCTAACACGGTTTGAGGACTCAGCCTCTTCCTGGTTGGCTCTGAGGAAGAGGCTCGAAACGCGTTAGCCAGTTGGAAGTCCAGGGTTCCATTTTTTGGACTTATATGCAGTGTGGATTGGACACCGCTGTTTAGTGTGATGTGCCTATGTCCTGGATGTCCATTGTGAGTATGATACTTACTTTTTATCCTTTTAATAAATATGTTTTATGATAATGCACTAGGCCGGTGCGCCCTCTTTTTGTTTTCTTTGTATTCAGTGACTTTGGACTACCCCGGTCCGTTGAGGGCAGCAAAGAGTGCATATTCCAGGAAATCTGAATTGTTACCTTAGCCTCTGCTGAGTCCATTCCCAACACAGGAGTACAGAAGTTGCTGTGTTTGCTATAATTAGGCTTACCTGTAGGTACTGTAAATATCTGCTAAACGTGCACCGTTTAGGAGATATTTGCCTGTGTAGAGCACCGGTGAATGCGCTCTGAAGGAACAGCATGCCTGTGCCGTTCCTTCAGAGCTGTGACTCCCGCATGGATGCGTGGGAGTGACGTCATCGCCGTTCAACCATTCCAGCCGCCGGAGCCCTTGAACCCGAAAGAAGGACCGAGTGAAGATAGAATCCCTGTCAGTGGTGACACCGCGCCACTGGAGGGCATTGTTATAAAGTAAGTTTCACATAATGGGCTAGTATGAGATGCATACTAGCGCATTATGCCTTTGTGTTGCAGGGGAAAACGTTTTTTTACTAGAGTTTACAACCTCTTCAATTGCTATGGGTCAGTGAGTTGTAATACCCAGGGGGTATTCTATATTCACACATGTACCTGCAGTGATTTCTATGTGGAAAATAATATTAGGACAGTGGGAGACTATATGACCACATTTATGATATCTACTTTCCGACCCGCCGCAGTATTTTTACTGCGCAGGGCAGCAGCTACAGGCACCACGGCCTACTGGTACGTCGTTGTCTGTTTCCAGGTGTGGGATGTGCACACTCACCTCGTCCACCTACTCCCCTGTGATATGACACAGTGGGAGTTCATCAACAGACCCAACCAGTGATTCATAACTGGGACCTGCTGATCGGCCAAATCACAGCCTGGTAAACAACACAGAGCTCTATACAGAGGGAGAAATTGCTTTGTTCGTTTCCCTGCTAAGCAGGGAAAAAAATAAGTCAATTTGTAATACAAAAACATTAACACTTGCTAGGCACACAAAAAAAAACCCTTGATTGCCCCTAGATGCTAACCCCTTCCCAGCCAGTATCACTAGTACATTGACAGTGTACATTTTAGCATTGATCACTGTATTAATGTCATTAGTGATGTCAGTGTCAGTTAGTCAGTGCCCACAAAGTGTCAGTCAGTGTCCAATTGCAAGCTGCACTATCACAGTCCTGCTATAAGTCGCTGATCACTGCCATTACTAGTATTTTAAATAAATAAATAAAAAATCCAGTATATATCTTATAGTTTTTAGACGCTGTAACTTTTATTCAAACCAATTAATATACACTTAGTGGGATTTTGTTTACCAAAAATATGTAACAGAATACATTTTGGCCTAAATTTATGAAGAAATTTTATTTTTTTATTGAATGTTTTAAAGCAGAAAGTAAAAAATATTGTTTTCTATTCAAAATTTAAGATCTTTTTTTTGTTTATATAATGAAAAATAAAAAAACGGTGGTGATCAAACAACACCAAAAAAAAGCTCTATTTGTGGGGAAAAAAATTATATAAATTTCATTTGTATGCAGCATCTCATTACTGCGCAATTGTCAGTTGGGCCTCATGCACACTAGACATTTTTACAGCTGCTGTTTTTGGCATCAGGCGTTTTTTTTCTGCAGCCAGTAAACTCCCCAGCATGTTATCCTATGTGTCTATGCACACATAGGCTTTTGTCAGTGTTTTTTGGCAGGGGCATTTTCAAGCTGGAAAAAAACCCCAGAACTACTTCGTTTGAAGAGGAGTTTTTCATTTGTAAAAATGCTCTAACGCTGAAGAACGCTGAAAATGCTGAAACCGCGGCCATCCAGCATTTATGAGCGTTTTTGAGTCTCAAGAGTTTTTTTAAAACAATATTTGTGCTCTTGCTTTCATTGTTTGACCTGTGCTGTGTGCAAACAGGAACATTTCCCAATGTCCTTTACTGTCTCATTGTCTCAGCTGAATGCACTGTGTGCAGTCAGGAAATTCCCTTTATGGACATTTCCCAATGTCTTTTGCCACCTCATTGTCTCAGCTAGCAAAACTGTGTGCAAACAGGAAATTCCTTTTATGAACATATGGAAGACACATGGCAGGATATCAAAGGATGGGTCTAGAATCGTCATTGACGGCTGCTTCTCTCTTCCAGCTGTCTCTGTCTCTCACCATCCTTAACAGTATCAGTAACATAGCCTCATCAATTTTCTGCTATACAGAATCCATAATGGATGCAGCAAGAAAAAGAAAGATAGCTCCTGAACAACACAGTGCTGTCTCTACTCTAGTGCTCTCTGCTCTGAAAATGGTGACTAAACAACTACATAATGACTATGCAGAGTTGCATTATGGGAAAGTGGGAGTTAAAAAATGGCAGAGAGGTGTTTTCTTGCTAAAAACTCTAATGCGGCAAAACACAAACAAAATGCTAAAAATCGCTAATAGAAAACAATGCTGCAAAACTCGCGTTTTCAATGTGGCAAAGCTATGACATTTTTATAACGTCCAGTGTGCATGAGGCCTTAAAGTAGCACATGGCCTGGTCATGTGGGGGGTAAAATCTTCCAGAGCTTAAGTGGTTAAACAATACAATTTGAGGTCTCCGGTAGCAAGACATTTCATATGTGAACATGATGGTCAATTGGACTTGTTGGATGCTGGGTTGTGGAAGAAGTTAAATCTAACCCCCTTAAAGAAAGTTAGTGAATCAGGAAACTGAAAGTAACATGCCTACTGAATCTAAATGATAATTTTAGTTTTAGATAATTTCTGTAGTTATAGGTGATAGGAAGGTTAGTACAAAAATAAAAAAACATTGGTTACTATTTATGTTTGGAGTCATGTCCCCCATGGAGTTTTTAGATCTCCCTCAAAAGTACATTATGCAATGTGATACTCTTTGATCGGGGACATGAACAAATATAATAGTCGTAATAAATGTGTTTATGGAGACCTATATAGATAAATTATGTGATATACTGATACAATAATGCAATGTTTCATGGTTTCCCCTTTTAACAATGACAGGTATGACACATGGGAGGCTTTTTTGTACATTATGGAATTGTAATTTGCACTTTTAAATTGCTCATCCTTGTCTAGGGAGATGCGGGTGGATACTGTTCTGTGACTGTTTCCCAAGTTCCTAGGTAAAATTGGGTACGTGGTTACTGCAGTGGTGCACATGAATGCTAGGAGGACATGTGGAGCCACAATATGTGCTGGCTACACAGTTTGAGAAGCTCTGAAGAGGCCACTTTCTGGACCACAATCCTTAATTCAGGGGGGTGGTATCATCTCTGTTTCATCCAGGTTGGACCTACAAATCCAGTTAGGTGACTGTCCAGCCTGCAGAGGACTGATAATATTGGCTGATACTAATTCAATGCTAGGACGCCCGTGGATGGATGGAAGCACAGTAATGCCATAATATATTGTGTCAGATCAAAGAGCTGTTTTTTGGAACTCTGGCACAGGAGGCAAATTGAACGGGTTCTAATCATAAGTTGTGGAGGAACATTTTGTCATGAAAACTGTTCAATCGAAATGCCAGAAAACATGCAAAGTCAAGCAATAACAAGGAGCTGAGCCCAGCTCCAGCTTTTGTATACAGAATACTCAAATTCAGTTAGAAATGACATATTTTTTGCGCAAACAGATTTGCTTATGATGTAATTGGAGTGATAAAAGTTGGTTTAAAGCAGTATTAATCCCAAAAATATGTATTATATTGTAGTTTACTAATTCTTAGATGTAGTGGGTGCAGTAGTTCTCTTTTTTAGGCTTTCCCTTTAATATATTCTGGTGATCTTGCCAGTAAGTCTGTTACCTTTCAACCTTCTTAATTGACCAAGCTGTCCAGCATATGTGGCAGTTAAGGGGGTGGGGGGGATGGGGAGGGCTGTTTACAATGTGATCAGAAAAAGCTGATGCTTTCATTCATTTATGTCCATCTAAATTTGCTAGTACATTTTACATTACCCCATTCCTAGACTGACAATGCTGATATTCATAAGTGTCTCCATTGCTGTTCCATAGAGCAAGACACCAAAGATGGGAACTGTGTTGTTGGCTGGACCAACAGGTGAAAAAAAAAGAAATAAAGCCTAAAAAGAGAAGACTAATGCAGCCACCACGTCTATGGATTGGCAAGCTGCAATATATTAATTTTATTTTTGTTTTTAATACTGCTTTAACCCTTTCCCTGCCAAGTCTGACAGTGGGGGGGGGGGGCTGTACACACAATCCGGTGGCTGCAGCCATAAGGATTGTGTATAAAACTGACAGGCAGACTCCTGCCTGTCAGTTGGAAGCAGTCGGTCTGCTGCCAGGTTGCTTCCACACATCCCTGATAGCGGTGCCACCCCCCCCCCCCCGCATGCGCCCCGCCATATAATTTGGGCTTGCTTGCCCATTTGCGGGCCTGAGACCAACGTGACAGGTGCCAGCGGGTGGAGAGGAGGGAGGAGAGCAGACGCACGTCCGCTCTCCTCCCTTTCTTGCTGTGACCCTGCATGTCTCATAAAAAGGGATCTGTCACCTAAAAAATCATCACATGTGATGATAAAGTTAAAAAAAATTTCTTTAATTGCAAAAAAATAAAGTTACACCAAAGCACATAACATCCCCCACCCAAAAAAATGTTTGATGCCCCCCCACATATTCACCTGTATGAATTTAAACACACGCCTCGGAGGCGCCTACGTGTGAAAACATTGATTTTGATATATATATGTTACATATCGCCATGCACACAGGAGTGAGAGCAACAATCTCAGCACAAGACCTCCACTGTAACGCTATACTGATGACCTGGTAGGGCCTTTTGAAGGGTCGCCAATAGAAAATATAGGGTACTGACATTTGTCGCCATTTCATGGGCGCAAAGAATTTAAGGTTTGTCATGTTGGGTATCTAAGTACTCGATACAAGCTCATCTTTTATATTTTATCAAAAATTTGGGAAATTAATTGCATTTGTTTGCCCTAAAATTTACTTTAGTGTATTTTTTATTGAAATTTTGCGTTTCTTAGACCTTTTCAGTAATATCGTGAGACATAAAAAAATTGGAACTACCTCTATTTCATTCTCTAGGTTGTCTACTTTCAGAAATTATATATTGTTTGGGGCTTTTGTGTAATCCTCAGGCCTAAAATTATTTTTTAAACATGCAGTGAAAGGGTTAAATGAAAAGAAAAGTTTGCCTAAACATTGGTTAAAAATGTACTGAAATTGAGAAGTAAAGTTTGCATGTGAAAATATGATGAAAATAGACATGCAAACTAATATTACTGTTTAGTGAAGTGAGTCAGTTGGGCCTTGTGGTGTGCTGGTTCTAGCTATAGATATTTAATGAGCTTCCAATCACATATTGAGATGATCAACTTATTATCATTATTATTTATTCCAGCAAATTACGAGGATCCTTTGATGCATTAAAACAGCGTAAGTAATCCTTTTTCCTTTTTTCATTAATAACTCACAGAGGTTTTGGAAGCCTATGCAGTTATAAAGTATTTTGATGCATTACTGTTTCTTTAGCAACAATTCTATTTCATTTGAGTAAACAGAATCATTGCTAGCACAAAGCCAACACTATGTGCCATAGCACGGGTCTCCAAACTGCAGATCATGGTCCAAATCCAACCTTCTGCAGGATTTTATCCAGCCCTCTGATTTAAGATGGATTCTGATGGGGTCTCTAATTTGGACTCTTGTGTAAGTGGGGACTGCGCTGTAAGGAGGACTCCCATGAAAGGAGGACTTTAATGGGAGCTCTAATGTAAGGGGGGACTCTGATGGGAACCCTGATGTTAGCGAGGACTCAAATTGGCTCAAGTTTATTTGGAATTTCTTTTGTTTGTTTTGCTTAATTTTTTTTTTGTTTTTGTTCTAAATAATACACTGCCGATTGCAAAAAAAATTATTAATTCATTTAAATTTTATTTGCTAAATTTATAAAACTGATTTTTCTTTGTTCCATGAATATTTGTAAAGAATAGGATTTGGCCCTTGTAATGAAAAATTTGGAGACTTCTGTTCTAGAGCTTAAAAATTCACAAAGCAAAAGTGAAAAAAAAAAAATATATATACATATAAGGAAAACAAAGAAATAGAGGATGTGTTAAAGGCATAGAGCTGATTTCTACTCAGCCTACTTCTCAATCTACTTCTAACATTCATGTTCAACTTCAAGGGTTCATGCACATGAAGCATTTATAGGTATATTATATAACTTTCATGTTCAGAAAATATGTCAGGTAAACATCAAAAGAATGTGCAAAGAAGCTTCAGCATTTACAAGAACATAACTGTGTACAGCCATTCACTTGTATGGCAGGCTGTGTGTGGCACATGCAGCTCCCTAAGCATCTGGCAATATACACTGCTCAACAAAATTAAAGGAACACTTTTTAATCAGAGTATAGCATCAAGTCAGTTAAACTCCTGGGATATTGATCTTGTCAGTAAAGTAGCAGAGGGGGTTGTTAATCAGTTTCAGTTGCTTTGATGTTAATGAAATTAACAACAGGTGCACTAGATGGGAAACAATGACACGATCCCCAAAACAGGAATGGTTTTACAGGTGGAGGCCACTGACATTTTTTTCCCTACTCATCTTTTCTCACTGTTTTTCACTAGTTTTGCTTTTGTCTGGGGTCAGTGTCACTACTGGCAGTATGAGGTGATACCTTGACACTACATAGGTTGCACAGGCAGTCCAACTCCTCCAGGATGGCACATCAATACGTGCCATTGCCAGAAGGTTTGCTGTGTCTCCCAGCACCGTCTCAAGAGCATGGAGGAAATTCCAGGAGACAGGCAGTTACTCTAGGAGAGCTGGACAGGGCCGTAGAAGATCATTGACCCATCAGCAGGACCGGTATCTGCTCCTTTGTGCAAGGAGGAACAGGATGAGCAGTGCCAGAGCCAGAGCCCTACAAAATGACCTCCAGCAGGCCACTGGTGTGAATGTCTCTGACCAAACAATCAGAAATGATTTCATGAGGGTGGCCTGAGGGCCCAAAATCCTCTAGTGGGCCTTGTGCTCACGGCCCGACACCATAAAGCTTGATTGGCATTTGCCATTGAACACCAGAATTGGCAGGTCCACCACTGGCGCCCTGTGCTTTTCACAGATGTACACTGCAGCTGATAAACTCATGTTCAGGAGGTTTTCTGCATTTTTTTCAGCAGCCCCTGAACTCTCCCTAATGTTTTCCTATGTGTCCATGTACACATAGTCGTTTACAGGAAGTTGAGTTTACAGTCATTTTTTTGAACGCACCAAACTTGCGGTCAGGAGTAGATTTTATCAGCGTTTCAAACACCAAATGCTTGTAAATGTGTGTAAACGTGGCTAACCAGGTTTATAGCGTTTGCATTTAGAAGCGTTTTTTAACTGTTCCATATCCAAGTGTTGTCCAGAGCCTTTTTTCATCATCAGAAATGCAGGCAAAGTGTTTTCCATGTATTCAAATGGACCCGGGACACCAGCGCAGTCAGTTCCAGGTTTTGCCTGAAGGAAAAATTGGTAGAATGTGCTGCATTATGCTCATGATGGGATCCATAGTGAATACAACCAGAAAAGATAGGTCATCTCAACCAGGGGCGGACTGACGATTTGGAAACTCGGGCACTGCCCGAGGGCCCGGGGTCAGTAGGGAGCCCTATGAGATGCCCCTGATACCTTTTTCATAGGCTTATTTCAGTTTGGGCAAGGTCACAGGGGCCCCATGATCCCCTATTGCCCGGGGGCCCCATGAGTTGTCAGTCCGCCCCTGGTCTCAACACATACTGCTCTCTGCTTCTGCTCTCTCTATTTTCTCTCAAAATGTCTGTAATAGTTATTTTTTTACTGTTTTTCAGTGCATTCTGGGCATTTTGGAAAGTCTCCTGATGTTATCTTTAAAAAACGCTTCTAAACGCAAATGCGCATAAATGCGGTATGAAAACACGGCTAAACAGACGTTTTTTAACCTACGTTTTCCAGCAGTCAGTTTCCATAATTTAGAAGTGTTTTCTAAACGTCCCGTGTACATGGAGCCTTACTCTGCATCTGGCTCTATTTCTTGCCTTCAAGTGTTGCTTCTGATAATGCAAGTCTATGGGCTTAAATATAAAATATTAACTATATAAACCCAGGAAAATTATATCAATATATACTCAATATATTCCAAAGTCTACATCATCCTGCCTCATGAATGTAGCCCTGGGAATAGTTTATTCAATTGGAGCTGCTATTAAATAGTTGTGACCAAACAAATATCAAAAAATTTGAAAAAAAACCCACAATAATAGCGCTAACAAATTACAACTAAAAATAAATTAAATAAATGAATGGATAATAAACCAGCCACCAAATAAAGTGAAATATGTGTAACACTAAATAATACAACATAAATATTTAAAAAAATCAAATAACTGATCCTCAATAAAGTCCATTAAATAAAGTCCATATACATATTATATGATCTTCAATCAATGAAGTTATGGAATCTTTCTCAAATCCTCCACCAATGTAAGTACTCCGTGTAGCAATCATGCACACAGAGATGGGCGCGGTCATCCATTTTGCGCATTGAGCAGAGGGTATGGGCCACCATCTCTAACACAGGAGGCTCAGGACGAGTCAGCCTTCACTACCTCATGTGGCTTGCCTGAATTCACGGGAAAGCTAGTTGGGGTTGGGAACGCACCAACCACCTCCCCAGGGGTCAGGAATGACCTACAATGTGGAGTGGAACTGTGTACAGTTGCCCACTTTAGGGGCCGTGCGGTGTTCGGCACCTGTCTGGGAAGAAGAGCATCTTGGGCCCCTGTCACTAGTCAGGAACAAACTGCCCGTGCCTAGTCTGACAGTCAAGAATGGTAACTGTCAGAGGGGCATGTCAGTGGTTCAGCTTTGGGAACCACCGGTAGGAAGAGACCCCCAGAAGTCTGGGAATGGGGAGACTGAGGCAGTTATGGCCTGGCCTACTCCCCAGGCCAAAAAGCAGGTTTTGTCAGTCTTGGATGCAGCTGGCTGGGTGCAACTATCATGGCTCAGCTGGACCCGTGACTGACCTAGCAGACAGGAAACTGATGGAACTGGTGTCCTGGATGCTATCAGGTAAAGAGGACTGTTCATCTTGGACGAAGGTACCTGTGGACCTATCCGGGCAGTGAGTTCCAGAATTCGCCTGTCTGGCTCTGTCTGGCGTCACTACCTTCGGGTCAAATGTAGTCCTGGTCCAGAGGAAGGAGATGGGAGAGGGAAAGCTCATTCTCTGCCTTGACAAAATGCTACATCTCAATATGTTAGCAGATGACACCCCTAGACAGAAGTGTTTTGTGAACAGGTGGGCACCCCGGCAGTTGCCACGATATCCGGATAGTCATAGCCAACTGGTGCTCCTCCCTGACAACTCACTTGGTCGGCACAACAGTGTTGCTGGGGAGAACAGCACCCTTCTCAGAAGGAACCTGGTTCTCCCGCAGTGCAGTGGTACCAGATCACCCCATGATGACCCTCTGGGCAGAATGGGTCTGTGCACTGGTCAGGCAAACCAGCGGCAGAAGTCGGTTGCATCAGGAGGGAAATTGCAGTTCCCTCCCATGCATCCACCTGAGGGGGGGAGGTGTAGCAATCATGCACACAGAGATGGGTGCGGTCATCCATTTTGCTCCAAACCCCTGCATTTTGTATCTCTCTTAAACACCAAATCAGTCTCCCTCCTCCGATTTCCCCCGTCCCTCAGGATTGTGGTCAGTGTATGTTTGCTGAGTTCAAGAAGCCTGAGCTCCCTTTACACAACCCCCTCCCCAAAATAAGGCAATTGGTTCTGTTGTTGTAAGAAGACACCCCACTGAATTTGGTAGAAAAAGGTTGGTATGCTTGGAGTTTGGGTGTGATAGAGAAAGCAGAGTCTCCTGCCATGTAACAATGAAACTTGCAGTAGAGACAAGAAAAGCATCCTGGAGCTCATAAGACTTGAAGCTGCTTAACCCAAGGCTTTTTGGCAAATACTTATCTACCTAAACTTCTTCCTGTTACCTTTTTGCTGTGCTGTGGTTCTCTGTATATTTATATATATATATATATTGGTTACATCTTTTTTTCTGTAAATATCTGTATTGCACCCTTTTGACCTTTTAGTAATAAATCTTTCCTTCTGAAAGTGTTGAACTGTTTCTATAGCTCTTTAATGCAACTTACGAATTCCTACTGCCGAAGAGCGCTACTATGAGTGTTTAACCCTCTGCCCTCTATAACCTGTCTGCGGTGATAATGGTATACAGACGATTATCTAATCATCCTAGTGTATTGCTGATATTGCCGAGTTTCCTCTTTCTCTGTACAAAAGGAGGTGGTGGCAGTGTGAAGGGTTAATTGCGTAATTAACCTGACCCAGTAACAATCGCACTCAGGCTGCCAGTACATCGATTTGAGGTCCATTGAGCTGGAAAATCATTGTGCAGGGTGCAGCTGGGCGTGGCATTGTTACACACGTGACATCGCGGTTTTAGATTGGCTAGTCCTTTGGTCACAAGTTTGGTGAGAAGGTCAGGGGTCTGACGCCGTGATCGGCACATTCCAGTCTTCAACACCCCATCAAAGTGCAAACTCACCAGATACTGGTGAAAAACCAGCATATCTTTATAATCAGTAGATGTGAAAAGAATCTGCAGCATATCATTAGTAATCGTCAGATGATCCCAGTGATCTCCATCATAATGAACATAGGTCACATGTGTACAAAGTAGAAAACACTCTGTGTAGCGTAATACAGTTTCAGAAACTGTATTCCAACTAATACACTCATAAAAAAACGTACTCACATTGTGTAAAGTACAAAAAAATATACAGATAAGAATGGCATATATTCATCAGTGATTTGTATATTTATTAATCAAACACAAGATGGCACTAATGCGTGGTTCTTACTCCACTCTGATAAGGTGTCTGAATAAGTCAATCCGTTGAGTTATGTGTCATCCTGTGTTCAATTGTCAGGAGGTGTTGTTATCGATGTTAACCAATGAGAGAATGGGCGGCTCTATAAGAGCTAGCTTAATCCACTGTGATCACACCCTCGGACGAAGTTGTGTGACGAAACGCGTTAGAGCGTGATCCAGCAGTGACGTCATCATGTACGCTGTATCACGTGTCCGGACCACGTGACCGCAACCGCGTCATCTGTTGCAGGCTGGTGAGACGCCACTGTGTGTGTAGGAAGCAGTGTACTAAGCGCTTCAGGCTGAAAGATTTTAAATACAAAAGGCTTTTTTTGTACTTATACAGTGTGAGTGCGGTTTTCATGGGGGTATTTTGTTGGAATAAAAATTCTAAAACGGTATTACGCTATGGAGAGTGTTTTCCGCTTTGTTCACATGTGACCTATGTTCATTATGATGGAGATCACTGGGATCATCTGATGATTACTAATGATATGCTGCGGATTCTTTTCACATCTACTAATTATAAAGATATGCTGGTTTTTCACCAGTATCTGGTGAGTTTGCACTTTGATGGGGTGTTGAGCACTGGAGTACTTATGTTGGTGGAGAATTTGAGAAAGATTCCATAACTTCATTGATTGAAGATCATATAATATGTATATGGACTTTATTTAATGGACTTTATTGAGGATCAGTTATTTGATTTTTTTTAATTATTTATGTTGTATTATTTAGTGTTACACATATTTCACTTTATTTGGTGGCTGGTTTATTATCCATTCATTTATTTAATTTATTTTTAGTTGTAATTTGTGAGCGCTATTATTGTAGGGGGATTTTTCCCATTTTTTATAGAAGTCTATGGGTTTGGTTTACTAAAGGAATAGAGGCCTTCATTCCCCTAGTTCTATGAGGAGCACACTGAAAAATGTGATCATTTTTCTAGAAAAAGTATTTTGTGTAGTAACGTATACTAGAAATAATATGGTAAACATTGCCCTTTGTGTGTGGCATTATTTCTGGATGTGCTTTGTCTTGTTGCAGAAATTGAGAATATTGGGATCTCACATATTCAGCTTGCAGCAACTATGAGGGAAGAACTGCAGAGTTTGGAGGACTTTAGAGAGAGACAAAAGGAACTGAGGAAAAAGGTACATTTGCTGCATGATACGGTACACCAGGAATGAGGCTTTATGTATTTCTCCTCCTACCTGAGCTTTATGATTTATCTCAACAATGTTTAAGTAGAAATAAAGTCATGGCTTTTTGTTTCATGTTGGATATAGTAAGGGAGGGTTATAACATTATAACCCCTGTCAGTTTTTTTTTGCCATCTGTGTCCCATTGGGGAGATTTCTCTTCACTTCCTGTCCCATAGCCAAATCAGGAAGTGAGGGAATCTGTTGTTGTCACTAGTGCCCCTATTAGAAGATCTGCTCTCTATTAGGGTCCTTTCACATGGGCGTCCCATTTTTTTCATCAGTTCAGTCACCTTTTTTCCAAGAAAAAAACAAATCAGTTCACATCCGTTGTTTTTTTTTAACAGAAGAAAAATAGGGTTTTCTTCTGTTCAAGAAAACGGATGTTATCAGATGTGGACATCAACGGCCGTAAACAGATGATCATCCATTTACTTCCGCTAGTCCAGCCTTTCTCAACCAGGGTGCCCAGGCACCCTGGGGTGCCTTGAGGTTTCTTCAGGGGTGCCTTGGCAAAATGTCTAAAAGTTGCCCAAAACTTGTATACAAAACTTGGAAGAAGCCTGACTCTTAGTTACACAAAGCCACAGGTTTTCATTGTGCGCCATTACGACCTTCTAGCTGCCGGCGTCCTGATAACCAATGACATCATCAGTTGGAGTATGTCAGTGGTCTGCACAGCATCCTTGTTTGACCCTTCCTTGCTGGGGTCACATTAGCTCAGTGATGGAGACAAACTTAGAGAAGCACTGGAATACTAGTCAGTGCCAGTGTACAAAAGTGTATTTGATTTGGAAGAATAAATCACCTCTACTGTTGGGTGTTCTACATGTGTGGATGTTGCTGCGTTATATAAAACTATTAGAATAGTATTTTACATTTTAGAATGGGGTGCCTCAAGACTGTCCATAATTTTAAAGGGTGCCTCGGGACTTACCATACTTTTAGAGGGTGCCTTGAAATTTTCCATAATTTTAAAGGGTGCATTGACTGAAAAAAGATTTAGAAACACTGCGCTAGTCCATAGAAATACATGGTGTTCTTTTTCCATCTGTAAATTACCAGACGAAAAATGGACATACGGAACTCCCATGTGAAAGGGACCTTACTGTTCTTGGGACAAACTAAACTTTGGGATTTTCTTTCATTTTCACATTTGATGATAGTGGTAATCATGACAAACAGGGTGAATCTCCCTAATGGGGACACAGACAGTAAAAAAAAACCTGATAAGGGTTTTAAGCCATCCTCATCCATACAAAACAAAAAAAAAGTTTTGCCTTTAGTTATACTCTAAAGGAGATCTATGGTCACAACACTTTAATTTTATAACATCAGCATTGTAAAAAAAAATACAAACAATAGGTATATTTGACAATCCAATGTAAGCCATACCTCCCAACTTTCTGAGATGGGAATGAGGGACGCCTATTAGCAAAAGTAATTGCTTTTAGGTGATCTCTGAAAACTTGTCTCTTCAGGGAATCCTATCCTGTCTTCATCTAATAACCAAATCTTCTATTTCTCCTACCAGTCCATCCCCCACAGTTATTACCTTTAGTACCACCATCCCCTCCCTCTTAGACTGTAAGCTCCAAGGAGCAGGGCCCTCCTAACCCTCTTGTATTGAACTGTATCGTTGCTGTATTGTCTCCCTTTATATTGTAAAGTGTTGAGCAAACTGTTGGCGCTATATAAATCCTGTAAAATAATAATAATAAAAAAAAGTATGTAGGCATAGGACACACACCCTGCTATGCCCCCCCCCCCCTTTAAAAGAGAAATGTTCAAAAAAAATTATTAATAAAACCCACAAGTGTTTTTTTTTTACCACTTCCTTTATATTTACTTTTGGAATTTACAAATGCAGCAATTTAGATTTTGGATGAAAGGCTTAGCACTGTAAAACACTTTTTGATATATGACTAGTGTATTTTATTTACAACCATATAGATCGTTCCAAAATGAGGGACAAATGTGGAGGAGGGAAGGACAGAGGGACTTTGTTCTAAATCAGGGACAGTCCCTCAAAATCAGGGACAGTCCCTCGAAATCAGGGACAGTTGGGAGCTATGTGTAATCTTACTTGAAATATCTCCTTCTATGTTGTGTGAGACTGGATTCCCTGCATGCTTTGTGGCTTCTCTTCTGCTGTTTAATTTCAATTTCTAATGACTACATGTCCCATGGTACCTTGCTGTCTGCAAGCACTGATTCTTGCCTTGACTCCGCCTGCTGAGACTCCTCCTCTCAACACCTCTGTAGTTCAGTTTTTGTGAAATGTGTGACACTCACAGGGCATAATGAATACATGTCACAGAATCCAAGGAAGTAAATGTTTGAGGATCTTCACAGAGTAAGTTTACAAACTTCAAGATCATTCCGATTAATAGGAATCATTTAAATACCATGTGGAAATGAACATATTATTTTATAATTTGACCATAGACGCACTTTAAAGTGCAATGTAAAAACTATGGAAAAAATTGACAGGCTGGAAAAAAAAAATTAGCAACAAGCTGGCAAAGTTCCCAATATTCCAAAAGGAACCTAACTTATTTAAAGATGAACTTCACAGTACACAGAGGAAATACAGTACATATAAGAGAGCTGAGAAAAGGTATACATTTCCGTCTCTTCATCCCTGACATATACACAGCCCTGGCACACCAAGCAGAATTTTTTTTGCAGCTGCAGTTTAGTAATACTTAGGGCTGGTTCACACCATAGAAATGCAGTCCAGATGCGTTCCAGAGGCTTTTCTGTATGCGGGTGTGGTTCATTTTGTCTCCCCCTCTCTTTTTCTTCAACTTAAATAAGGACGTGCAGTGTGTTTTTGATGCATTTACTGTGTTCCAGTACAGTTGAGTGCAGAAACAATTCAGCATGTTGTACTTTTTTTTCTGGAACGCACTGAAACTGACTGCACTGGTGTGAACTATGCCATTGGAAACCATGTAACCTACTATCAAAGCATTTTTGATGCAGAAAAAAAAACGCACTTGACTGCAAGTGGTGTGAACTGGCCCTTACAGTTCTCCTCACCACCCCAACCCTGTGACTGAACAGTAAAAGAATAACATATGATGAGTTCACCTCTGTCACTCTGCTCTCTCCTCCTATTAGCATGCTTTTTGCACTGCAGCACAACTGATTGGCTCTTTATGCTTCTTCTTCCTCGACCAGTCAGAGCTCTGCTGTACAGATACTGCAATACGCTGATACCAGATCAAATTCAGTTACTTACACTTCAAAAAAAATTTTAAGGACTAATTTGTGCTTTTTATATGTGCCTGGAGTCCAGTTTTAAAAGTGTAGCAATAAGCACTGTGATCCTTTTTTGGATATTCATCTGTGAGATCATACAAACTACCTAATATCAGTGTCAGTGTAAAACAGCATGGGCCAGGAATACAGAGATGCTAATAAACCTTCAAAGAAAAGTGTGTATGCTTGGTTAGGTTCACACTTGCCATTGCGCTGAAAAGTGAATCTCAGTTAACCGCTCTTCAGAATGCGGCTTTGTTGCTTTCAGGCATTCAGGAGGCGATCTTGGCACCCCCTGAATGCCTGTTTTCTTTCTACCTGTCTTTTTTCTGCTGAACAGCAATTTGTAATGGGGCTAATTCACCGCAATGGCAAGCCAAGTGTTTGGCTCGCAATTGCAGCGTAGCCCCCATTGACTTGCATGGCTGAGTTTGACAGTTGCCACCAACTATTGACTCATCATGTCACCTTAAATTTACCATGGCACAAAAGCATTGTGGCCATGGCATGTGAAAAGCCTCCTCCAGCTCTTGATTAACTTTAGGTGGGGGGCAGTAAAGCCATAGCTCAGCCACCTGTTTTACTGACCCCTGACTGCCTGTGTGACAAAGGCCTTTATCTGCTTCTGTGTTTTGCCCAATTGGGCTACTAACACCATCATATGTGGATATGTTATGCAGGCCATAGACGGGTCGATTATCGGCCAAATTTTTGTCCACACAAAAAATCAGCCGATAATCACGCCATTAGTGGGGCCAGCCCGTCGGCCGTTTTTCGCGGATCTCCTCAATTAGTTTTATCGGTCATGCTGGAAAATCCGTGAAAAAAGGCCGTTTTTTGTGGAGATGGGTGGCAGCATTGGCAACGGTGCCGACCGATTTTTCGTTTATCGGCCAAATTTTCGTCTATGGCTGCGTTATTGTGGTTCTCTAAAGATTGTCCCAAATGGTATACTTCAGTCTAATGAACCTTATTGTTTTCTCACTTAGTATGAGACTGCCATGGAGCGCCTACAAAAGAATAAAGTTTCCATGTTCAAGAAGACAATTGATGTAAGTTGGAGTATGTGTACATTAAAAAGAATCAGTCAAAGGATACAGATAGAACTTTGTCTGAAATATGAGTGAAAAGTTTAAACTCAACTAACAAAGTACATGTTTTCTTGCTGTATAAAAAGGAAATGGGTGTCTCTATGTTGAGTGTTGACAAAAAGCTCAACTGTCCCACTTGATTTGTGGTTCTTTGTAACGTAGAACTATGACCCCTAATAATAATAAAAAATTTGCTGAAGCACCTAATTATAAGTCCATCTACAAAGTCCCACATAGGCCTGTTGACCTGCCAGTGAAGCCCAATGAATACAGCTTCCTGTGATGATGTGGCAACTCTCATGTAGGCTGTGCCTGTGTGCACTGCAGTGGGATGAAAAAAAACAATTGCAGGGGGGCATGACTATCAACATTGTGACTGCTGACTCACAAGCCTGTAGCTTTTCACTAAGCACCTGACCACACTTAGTCCCACCCACGTGTAGGCAGGTGCAGATAGTCTACCTCTAAGTGGCTTTGTGCCAAAATAGTGTCTGGTTACAGCAGTGTCATCAGATGCTAGGCCCTTTTAGTTAGAGCCCTCCTGTAGTGATGTCATGGATGGGTGAGTCAGGGTACAGATATAAAGCCAGGCTGGGAGGAGTCCTAGCGCAATTGGGGTATGGGAGCTAAGCACCCCACACTAGCGCAAATGTAACTAGCAAGTGGAGGCCCTGTACAGGGCAGGAGGCTGGGGATGAGTATACTGCACCCAGGAGAGATGGCCATAGACTTTATGATGTTTATGGAGGTGGGGGCTAAGGTGGATTGCAAAAGGCCTGGCCAGGAGTTCCCTGCTTAAAACTGTTCCCTCCGGAGGGTCCCGGGAGAGGTTTACCTATGAAGGAGGTATCTACAGTCCAGTGAGTACTAATGACCTTGGGTAGAAAGGGAGACCGTTAGAGCTAGATGGCTGCTTAAAGTGCTGCATGTGCTTTCACATGTGACTACTGCGGGCCATCCACTAGATGTGATTGACTATGTATTGTCAAGTGACTCTGGAATGTATGTCAATGTGATGTGCCATTCCCTGAATTCCATCAGTAAATCTACCTATTTGTGTGGACATTCCTCCCTTGGCATAAAAAAGGTCAATGGCTGGGAACATCGTGTGGAGGCCTCAGGCATAGAGAGGGCACAATATGGCTGAGGGTTCAGCCTCAGTAGGAGGGACAGTGTTCTAGCAAAGATAGGAGCAGGACAGGGACTTGTGCTCTTGGTGTCAACTTTTGGTCAATCACAAATCTTTTTGTGGAGATTCCAACCTACTGTGTGGCTGGTATGTACTCAATCCCAGCTATCTGCTGTTTGGTGAATACTGTATGTACAATTCCAATAGGAAAATAAAGGTACTTGGTTGTTATTTTTGTTCTATACATATATTTAATAAAAGGGAACTTTCCACAAATTGATGTGGACATCTTTGGGAGGGGAGTGGTATAAGTTATCTTGGAGGGGTATAAAACTTGTACAATGCTTATGTCCCTTTCTGCAACATATAATACTTTTAGTCACCAACGTAATGGGATTATGCCTGTTTCCCATTCAGTCAAAGAAAAATTATGAACAAAAATGCAGAGAAGCAGAGGAAGCAGAAATAAACTTTGAGCGTCTGACCATATCAGGAAATCCCAAACAAGTAGAGAAGGTAAGAAATCACTGTCCTAACCTACAAATAATAACACAACCCATTATACCCATGTATGTCATCTATTTAGCTACTGGCACCCCACCACTTGCATTGTATTGTGCTGCATAAACCACTTGACCTTCCGAAAGTTTTACCTCCTTCATGAGCAGACCATTTTTTTGCTATTCAGCACTGTGCTACTTTAATTGGCAAATACTTGGTCATGCAACACTGTACCCATCATTTTTTCACACAAATAGAGCTTTCTTTTGGTGGTATTTTATCACCACTGGTATTTTTATTTTATAAACAAAAAAAGACTGAAAAGTTTGAAAAAAAGCACAATATTTTCTACTTTCTGTTATAAAAACTTAAAATCAAATTTCTTCATACATTTAGGCCAAAGTGTATTCTGCTACATGTCTTTCTGAAAAAAAAAAATGCCACATGTAACACTGCATTTTCTGGGACACTATACCATTGGGAACACTATTATAGCTCTGACTGTGACCAGGATATCTATACTAGTAATGGCAGTGAACAGCGACTTATAGTTTGACTGTGATAGTGTGGTGGCCAATCAGGGACTGGTGCTAAGTAACACTAGCTAGGAGGGACAATAACTGACCCTAACTGACACTCTCTGACTTTGGTAGTGACACTAGTACACACTATTTTTTTTTTCTGTTCAACCCAGTGGGTGACCAGGAGGGCAATCAAGGAGCTAACTGTGTGCCTAATAAGTGTATGTGTGCTGATTTTATTAACAGACTGGCAGTCTTTTCTCCATGATCTCAGTTCTGGACAGTAAGTGAGATCAGGGAGCAGAAACAGCCAGATCTGTGTTTTGTGTTTCCTAACACACTGATTTGTGCTGCGGTTGGCCACAGCTGTCAGAAGGTTCACAGCCAAAATCATTGTTGTGAGCCTGCTGACAAACTTGTGCTGTGTCCAACCACAGCATGAGCAGCAGGGGGCGCACACCTGTAAACCCCAGAAGTACGGGTAAGATGAGGGGGAACAACAGGAAGATTCCTCTTCACGTTCTGTCCTGTAGACTCAACAGGAAATGAGAGGATATCTTTCTGGTGTGAGGGGTATCCACGCTTGGACAATTTTCACAGGAATAAGTGTGCCCATTCAAAATTTCCCCTCTATTTTTGTTCTAGAGACAGCTCAAAATTTACAATATACCCTCACTATCATTCTCGGTGACATTAATGATCAGGAAAATTAGAGTGGAACTCTGTAACAGGGTACAGGCACCAATAAAAACCTGACAGTGGTTCTAACCCCTCACCACCATCTAAAATAAAAAGGTTTTGCCTCTAGTTATAGTTCAAAGTAGTATTAAAGTCTCAGCCTTTTTTATCGTAACACATTGCGCACAATAAAATAAACATCCCCCAAGAAACTATTTGTTAACATTCTTCTGCTGGCTCCTGCTTTGTCAGTGCTGCTTACCTGAACTTCTGGACTTCACAGGAAAGAGTTAACAGTGGACAGTTCAGTCACCTGTCTGTTAGCTTGGAGAAGGGAGGAGAAAGGGAGTGGGGAGTGCCTTGCCTTCCTAGGCTACAGGGCCATGTGTCTCTATTGATGAACACAGCATAGGGAAACAAGACTCAAGTGCAAGGGTGGCTCTACAGGATACTGCAAGAGCAAGGAGTCACCTTGAAACATGAAACCTGAGGTAGTGACCAGGGCACCAGTTTAAACTGGAACATAGGTATGGATTAAACATAAAGAAGCTGCATACTCAATAAGGAATTATATCAGATGCTGAAACTCATTCAAGAATTAAATGATCACTTCCATTAAGTACCAAGTGTCTGTTTCCTTTTGAAGCCTCAGAGAGAATTTATAAAATGAAATCCTTGTCTCTTTTCAGAGCCAGAACAAGCTAAAACATTGTAAGGATGCAGCTACCGAGGCAGGTACACAAGTTCTTTTCTATTTTCACTTTTTTCATGTCTGTTTATACCTTGTATGTTTAGCACAAACCTGTGTACCTATGAAACTCATGCTTGCTGAATTAAATGATAAACTTGTGTCAAAAGTCTGTGGTTTTAACTGACTGCCCACATCCAAGGTCTGTTGTGAAAGCATAAAAAAAAATAACCTGAATCAGTTACAAAACATTTTTTATAACTGACTCTGTAGATGACTTTAATATATTGATACTACCAAGATACAATGGAAAGAGTGTAACTGGAATAGGGTGTGTGTCTGGTGAAGGTCTATCATGGTAGTATAATAACTGATAGTATATTACTCTATTAGAATAAAATGTTGTTTTAGAAGAGTTAGTTCATTAGAGTAGATCCAACCCCAATCACTAACATTTTCAAATAGGAAATTTAATTGCATTGTGGTTTTTAATGTGTTCTAATCTACAGCTTTAATTAAAAGAAAATCAAATGATCCTACCATGGAGGCCTTTGTTTAGGCACTTTGGACTTGATTTACTAAAACAGGAGAGTGCAAAATCTGGTGCATCTCTTCATAGAAACCAATCAGCTTCCAGTTTTTTTTGTCAAAGCTTAATTGAACAAGTTGAAGTTAGAAGCTGATTGGCTACCATACACAGCTGCACCAGATTTTGCACTCTTCAGTTTTACGTAATCAACCCCTTTCTGTAATAGAAATATTGTATCTGCCCTGCGATAAGTACAGTAGTCTATTCCTAAAATTATACCTAGCCAGCACTAATTAGTGAACATCACCATGAATATAATCTTTCTGCATAAATTGCGGCGCTGTAATAAATCACCTGTAAATTATTTTTACAGACCATAAAACAAAAAAAAGGGAATCTTAAACTATAATACAAATGTATATACAGTATATACAGATGTAAGTCCAAAAGTCCGATAAATATATCCAACCTCAGTGCCCATGTATATTCAATGCTCAAATGAATCCAACCGTGACATAAAATTATTATCATCCAGATGGTCTTTGCATTTTTGAAGATTGAAGGCCATTTGGATAATAATAATTTTACACATTAAATCTACTGTATATACACCGTATATATTTTTGTATTATAGTTTAAAGCAGAACTTCACCCAAAAGGGTAAGTTCCACTTTTCTTCTTCTTTTTTTTTGAGGGGGAGGGGGAGTGGGTACCTGATTTTGACAGGTACACGCTCCCACTTCCACTCCGATGGCCTAGGCCTAGGAATTTCACCTCCACCCTCCTATCCCTGCAGCCTCTTGGGACACGTCACAGGTCCTGGGAGACTGCAGGAGCATTCAATTCACTCAGCTCATGCATGCATAGTGGGCATCCTGCTCTGAATCCACAAGGAGTCATAGTCGGCTGCCCACAGTTGGCCACAGTGCCGGCACCAGGGACCCAATGACCGGCAAAGAATGGGGTCAGGTGAGGACAGTGCTGATGTTTTAAAAGTCAGCAGCTACAGTATTTGTAGCTGCTGACTTTTAAACTTTTGTTTTCAGGGTTAAGATCCCCTTTAAGGTTCACTTTTGTGTTTTATAGTCTGTAAAAATAATTTACAAGTGAATTTTTAGACTGGCGCACATTATGCATGAAGACTTTCTGTCATGGGGTGATGACTTTTCCTCAACTGTGTCTTTGGGATGTCATCCTATCACATGTCCTCTTGGTGGAAAATACAAGTAGTCATGCCAACACAAATTGCACTGGCATGGTTTACCTTTGTTGTCACCCAGTGAGCCATTTCATTGCAAGGGTGTGCTGCCATTGCTGGAGCAGTGCATGTAGACAGGAAGTGGCTGAAAGAGAATAGAGGTTTCCAGCATGACACAAATGAATGAAAAAAATTAAAAATGGTATTTTATGAAAAAAAGGGGATTTTGATATATAGGGCTTTAGTAAACTACTAGAGTTAGTCCTCATGCACACTGGATGTTTTTACAGCGGCTGTTTTTGGCTTTTGATGTTTTTTTCTGCATCCAGTAAACCCCCCAACATGTTATCCTATGTGTCCATGCAATCAATGTTTTTTGGCTGGAAAAAAACCCAGGACTAGTGGGTTTCTAGAGGAGTTTTTTAGTTGTAAAAATGCTCTAACGCTGAAAAACGCAGCAAAACGGCATTTCTGGAAATTGTTTTGACCACACAATATTTATTTTACTAAACAAAAACACAAAAAAATGCAAATGCGGAAAAACTTTGGAAAACGCCATTAAGTAACATGTGTGAATAGAAGAAAGGCAGAGTAGAATAGGGTGTGAAGTAGTGATGGCTGAGGATTGTGGCGTGGCATGTCAAGTTATGGTGAATAATTATCAGATGTTGATGAGACGGTGCTCAAAGTCAGAAGGAAGAATGTTTTCCACTCATGGGGCCAAACTCTTTCAAATGTATACATGGTGTCTGTCAATTTAGCGTTTTTTGTTCAGTAGAGCCCATACAATTTAAGGGTTTTTAAAGCAGAACTAAACCCACGTATAAAAAAACAGTTATATTCTCGGCATGCTGGGAATACCAACTGTCACATTTGCGTGTGTTCCAAACCAAACTGTCAAGTCATCAAATGGTTGGTGTCATAACTGATCACCATCGCAGTTGCAGTTCAAACAGAGGTTAACCCCTTAACTTTAGAGGCAGGGCGGGGTTTCTGATCATATGATTCTGTGATTGGCTGTCAGAGCAGTAACATAATCAGAAAGCTTCCAATTACAATTAGAGATTGTGAGTTCTAGCTGCATCGGGAGTGCGCAGGGTGGATGCTGTTGGCACAGCTGAATTTACATTCTGGTGCGTATATATTTGACCTCTCGGCATTAGGACCCACCAGCCGAGAGGCCACGTATATGCGTACTGTCAGCATGAAGAAGTTAAGATGGCAGCTTCCTTGGCTGAAAAGGATTGGATGGTTAAGTTCCACTTTAAGGCCTCTTTCATACCATGTACATATTCTGCAGGGGCAAAAAGAAAACCGTTGTTCTCTATGTGACCTTTTCACACCAAACATTAGTATGATGTAGGGATTTTTTTCTGCGCAAAAATCTGCAAAACGTACAGAAACACGCATGAAAACTGATGTAAACTATTGTCTCTGCAAGTGAAATCTGTGCATTTTTCCATCAGTTTTTCTTCACATATTGTGTGAACATGGCCTAAGAGTCGGGGATTGCCATACCTTAGCAATTTCTTGCTGCCTCTTTTATACCAGGGGCAATATCCACATACCCATTTTACACCAGGGGCAATACTTACATATCCATATTACACCAGGGGCAATACTCACATATCTATATTACACCAGGGGCAATATCCACATATCCATTTTACACCAGGGTCAATATCCACATATCCATTTTACACCAGGGGCAATATCCACATATCCATATTACACCAGGGGCAATATCCACATATCCATTTTACACCAGGGGCAATACTCACATATCCATTTTACACCAGGGGCAATATCCACATATCCATTTTACACTAGGGGCAATATCCACATATCCATTTTACACCAGGGGCAATATCCACATATCCATATTACACCAGGGGCAATATCCACATATCCATTTTATACCAGGGGCAATATCCACATATCCATTTTACACTAGGGGCAATATCCACATATCCATTTTATACCAGGGGCAATATCCACATATCCATATTACACCAGGGGCAATATCCACATATCCATTTTACACCAGGGGCAATATCCACATATCCATATTACACCAGGGGCTGAATATCCACATATCCATTTTACACCAGGGGCAATATCCACATATCCATATTACACCAGGGGCAATATCCACATATCCATTTTACACCAGGGGCAATATCCACATATCCAGTCATCCAAGAGTAATTGTATAGGGGGTTATTTACTAAAGCTGGAGAGTTCAAATTCTGATGCAGCTCTGCATAGAAACCAATCAGCTTCCAAGTTTTATTGTCAAAGCTTAATTGAACAAGCTGAATTTAGAAGCTGATTGGCTACCATGCACAGCTCCACCAGATTCTGAGTGCTCCAGTTTTAGTAAATCTACCCCATGCTTCTTGTTTTCTCAAACTGTATGCTATAGCAATGTAAATATGACTAAATCATCTATCTTTTCTACCTCCCTAGAGTCCTTACTATTCCATGTTTCATAAATCAGGTTTCTCCTGGTTGTTCCCAATGTATTAGTAATTTATTACTTTGGCCAGTAGGTATCTCTCTGTGCATCTTTAGTACAAATGCAATCCTTGGTTGTAATGATATTATGTATTTTTCTTCAAAACTGTTTTTATTGGTTTTATAACCATGATTCAAGTTAAGATTAGATCATGATGACAGTGGATAAGGTGTCACTGTAACTGCGTGATTTTGTTATGTTTCATACTGTGTTGTGTTTTTTAGATTGCAGCATTTGTAACAACAGCTGGCTTTTGCTGGGAGTTTTTTAATCATGTGGCAGATATTCACATGTTGTCCTTATGAGTAGGCACAATATTAGTGTTAAGAGTCTATTGCGGTTGATGCTTTGCTATTATGTGAATTCTTTAGCACTAGTTCACATATGTGTGTTCCTGCGGGCTGCATTTTGCGTGGGCAGGAGAGCCCATTCATTTGAATGGACTCCCGTGCCCCGAGACATGCAGGGAATATGTTCCTGCACTTCTTCTGAAAATGCAGCCCGCACGGGAACCTTGGTTCTTAGTACGGTTGCGATTTCCAGTGCAGGCGGCGTGCCATTAGAATTAATGGCACCCGCTCACGGGTCCGCATTCTTCTGTGCGGGTGGTGCGGCTGCATGGATTTTTGTGCGGATCCGCAGCAGAACCACCCGCACATATGTGAACCTAGCCTCACTAATAAACCTCTGACTGAGCCATGAGCACATTGTATCCCCTTCTTCTGTTGTAGATTTTGTAGAATTTAGATAAAACAACTGAATACTGTCCATGATCATTTTTTATTTGTACTAACAGTTACAT